AACTTCCCCTTCCTTTTGCCCGGGCATTTGTATTTTATAGCGCACATTTTTGCGACTGCCATTTATTTAAACTATTCTTGCTCAATTCCAGTAATTCGACAAAAGTGAACACCCCGAAAAATTCAGCTGTGGCTGGTATCAAAAATCAGCTCATAAAAATCGCACAAAAAGACATAAATAAGATTTATTGTTATAGTTTTCCACCACCTCGCACAAACGCACCTCGCACAGACGGGTTTCGATTGCCATTACGTATACGCAGCGTGAGCGACCAAATGTCCAAAACGAGTTGGCTGCTGCCCCAGCTGCCGAGCTCTTATACTGGTGTTAAATTTCACGTAAAAATTGCACTAAAAATTAAATATAAATATTTGTTAAAGCCCATTAAAATACCCTTAAACCAAGTTGTATAAGTTTTTAATGCAAGTTGAGGGCAACTTTTAAGGAGAACTTTTATAGTTGAGCTAGTTACCAACTTGCTGTCAATCTTGTGAAACAGTTTAACAAGTTGGAAGTAAAGTAACTTTGCTTAAGCCAACCAACGAAAATAATTTATGAATTCGAATAAGAACTATGGGAGTAGCGTATAAGTAATTCGCATTAAATAGCATGAATGTTTTCTGATTTTGTTTTGATATCGTGCTGAAGTCACGAACCGAAATCCTTTATTATGCAGATAGCTTGCCGAGGTTTGTGGCTGTTAGCCTTATGGAATTTCATGGTTACAAATAGTTAATGTTGAGTTAATTATTACATAATCACTGACCAACACGAACTGAGGCGGAGTCCCCAATCTGGATTACCGGTAGCTTTGGTCAAGTCAAGTACATTGACTCGCCGTATAAATTTATTTGTGTTTCTCACATTTATTTTGTTTTATTTCCCGCTCAATCTCCCTAGTTCCCCCATCTCGTCGTATGTTTGCCGGCCATAAATATTAATTATAAAACACGATATCCATTATACAATTCTTCAGGCACGAATCAGGCACAATCATCATCATCAACTGTGGCAACAAACTGAAGGGGTTGTTCCTCTGGGCCGACAACATTTTCCTTTTCCAGGTACTCACTTTGTGTATAAAAGTTTTATGTAACCTGAAGTCGAGGGAAATTACCAATCGCAGAGCCCTTATAGAAGCAAAGCTAAGTATTGTATGGGTAGAAGTGTTTGGCCTATTTTTAAATTGCCTTACCCGTTAGACAGTTCAACGTATTTTTATTTATTCATCAATGAAATCAAGTTCTAAACGTAAATGTTCCTGGCTCAAGTAAACACTGAATGGATTTCACAGGAAGGAATAATTGATTTAGGCGTCTAATAAATTGCTGTTGACGTTAAACGACGGACAATTCTATTTTCTGGATTAACTGGTTCTTAGTGTATTTACTATTGAATGATATGTCTTTATTGATTAGATGGGTTGGTAAACAGTAAAACAATTTACACTCATTATAAAAAGCAATCATGTAGTCTTTTACAACAGTAACAATTTTCAAATATTGTTCTTAAAGATACTTAAGAAATGTAAGCCATATGTTATGGTTACCAAAAGTTAATTAAATTGCACCCTATTTGCTCATACACTTTTTTCCAACACCTTTCCAAGCGCAAGTAATATTTTCATTTGGCTCGTTGCTCTACCACAGCTACCCTCCTTTTTAGCCAAGAGACCTTCCCCCTTTTCCCTCTTTCTATGTATTGTATAGTAATAACATAAAATAATTTATGGCAAATGAAAGTCACAAAAATGCGAGACCAGGCGGCAAGGCAACGGAACCAAAAGTTGGTTTCATGCGCCATTCAGCAGCCAGCTTTCCATTGGCCTCTTCTTCTCTGACTTTAGTAAACCCTTTTCCAAGGCGACTCTTTTCAAATTGTCGTAGTATATTTTTAGGCAAGCCAATGCACAGAACACATACACACACACACGCACACACAGATATAAAGAAAAGCGCCTGGCCAGAACATGTTAACTTTCATTTTCTCCGCGTGTTTTGGCCAAAATTTTCCTCTACAATTTTTGGTGAGAAGGTGAAAGAAGGATGTACGGTGTATGCTTTGCTTGTATCAAGGCTTTTGTGATCTTCCGTCTAGCCTCTCTGCCACGCCCCCCCCTTTTCGACGCCTTTGTCGTTCACAATGCCTTCTCGTTTTTTTTTTTTGGGAATTTTAGTCAAGCCTTTGTTTTAAAAGCTTTTGTAGCGCATGCTTTGAATTTTGTTGCTTCCCTGCTCTGCTGCTGCTCCTGCTGCATTTTGATGTTTGGCTAAAATTGCGCGACGAAATTCACAAAGGGGCCAAAAATGCAGCAAGCCCCTTTCCAAAAATTCAACCCCCATTAGAAGCCACAGTGCCATGGAAAATATTCGCAGATAAGCGTTCTAAAATTTCGCTTTGTCTTGAAATCTTTTGAAAATCTTTAGCATTAACCGGACACAAGGACAAATGAAATTCCCTTCTTAAATATTTACATCGCATGGGGGACAAAAATAGAAAGTTCCCCCTTTCGTTCTTAATTAATTAAAGCCGCAGATTTGTGGACGTGACTCAATCCCTTTCCAACCTGTCAACCTGCTGTCATTTCATCCCTTCAAGTAATTAGAAATTCTATGGCAAGTTTTCCACTTTTGCGAAAAACCCTACAATTTCCGCTCAACGGGTTTGTCACTCACTCAAACTCAAACAATTTGATTGCGAAAAGTATTTTCGTAGAGCCTAATTTGTGGTTAGTGAGGTGAATACCTGAAGAATAGTGGATACAAAAATAATTTCCAAGAAACTAAATATAAAAGGTTTACCCTTATAAAAATGGATTACCTGTTCATCGAATTAAAATAAAATTTCAACTAAAGCAAATACTTTTTAAAGCTCTTTACAAGATTGTTGCAACTAAAATCCTAAAATTTTTAAGGTAGCAAAGAAACACAACAACTGCATTTGGGAAATATCACCAGTACATGGTGAAAAGTCAACTATAAAACACAAATTCAATTTCCAGCCACACAAAGCAATTTTAGCGGTTGACTGGCTTGGTCGCCGTATGAAGGGTTAATCCTTCAACCTTCACAGGGACACGTTTTTCCAGCGAAACAAAAAGCGTCAATCGCCAGCTCCTTCGCTTCTAGCGCATTTCCGCGTGTTTGTTTTTACAGAAGATTTTCTTTTTTTTTTTTTGGTAGGGCCAAAACGTGTTGCAAGCCACAAAAGTTTGCCAACCTGAAAACGCGGCGAAGGTGAAGCGACGACTGGCCCCGTCGACCAAATTCTTTTCCCGGTCCCTCGAGCATTTGGTAACTGCTGCACTCAACACGTTGACAAGTTTTTGGAAATCGTTTGGGGAGGGGAGTTGGATGCGAAGATAGCCATTCGTCAGTTAGTCACTATGTCACTTGAGTTTCCCAGTTGGTTGCATACTTATGGAAGCCTGTTTAGCGGGAATGCATTAGCCGCGGAGGGAAGGAAAAACGGCAGACGAAGGATTTCCCACCCAGCTCCTTAAAGATTTATTATGGCATCTGTTGTTTTTGTTGTTGTTGCTGGCTACTTTCGGGTAGGTTCCGTGTGATAAAATGCTTGACACTTTTCTAAACGGCCAAACTTTTTGACTGCCAAGAGATTGTCCCTTCGCTCCGTTCGCTCGCCATCTCTCTCACTTTGCTCCACTTGGGTCCTGTACTTTTTAATGCTCCATAATGCTTGTAGCACCCGCAACCCCCCACCCCCCCCCCTATCCACCTCTCAGAAGCCTGAAGAACCCCCAGGTATCTTATCCCTTTCCCAGGACCAGAGCCTTTGCAGTTTGTTGACACTGTCTGGCTTAGAGAGCGCATAAAGTGGAAATGATTTACGCAGTTCACCTTGTTTCTGGGATGCGTGTGTGCTCCTACATCCTGTGGGCATAATAAATAGCCCCAGCTTTTGCTCTGGCAGTTTTGTCAAATAGCTCTTCGGAGCTCAAAACACCTGAAAGCAGAGTTTTCTTTTTTTCGTCTTGTTTTGCTGGGCCAAGAATTGCCGGAGACCCATTCAAAGAGCTTAGTTGCGAATTCTCGGTGGAGAAGAAAAGAGCGCGTGTGACAAGTGCAAAAATCTTGGGAATACACTTTTCAATCAACTGCGCAAGTTGCCAAGGCTTTGATTTGTGGCGGTCTTTGGTTTGTGTAACTCAACACCCAAGTATACTGATTTAATAATTTTATTTGTTTAAGGTAACTAATAAACTGAACTATAAAGGCTTAAAACCCCATAATAACTAAATGATTCAGATTAAATAGGAACTTCCATAATTTAAATTCCTTTAAATGTGCTGCCTTCTTCACTGATTTAATCTACTTAAAAGTACAAATTGGTTGCCTCTCCATTTCAAAAACTTAATAATAGCTTTATATCCCTGGAATCCCACAGCTTTACAAAATATGAATCAAATATGTCCAAACTTTCAGCATCGCTTTACATTAGCTTAGATCGCAATGCTTTTAAAGTACGTGTTTTTTCACTGCGACTGCCACTGCCATTGCCACCTTCAACTGCAACTCCTGCTACTTCACTGCCCTGCTGTCCTGTTCAAAATTCCATAAGCATTTGCTTGGGTGCTAATGGACAGTTTAGAGAGGCAACCGAACGAGAAGCTACTCGTACCACCGCACTGTGGAACTCGCTGCACTCTCGTTGCACGGAAAAACTTACAACGGAGCGAAATGAAATCATAAATGCCGGGACACGTGCCGGGACAACGTGCCCCCAGTTGCAACGAGGTGTTAAAGTTTTTCCCCAACCTCCCCACCAACTATTTCCTCCTTTTTAGACTTTTTGGCAACTCCCGACGAGTCGCGCGAGTGGTTCGCATTCCGAATGCAAGTTAGTTAAATATTTAAATTTATTTATTGGACTTGGCTTGGACCCGCCACTGCAGCCGAAGCCATTTAAAATAATAATAAAGAAAGAAAGTAAAGGGGAAAACAAGTGAAAATAACTAAGAGGGATTGAGGTGGACTTACCGTGTGAATCTTTCGAGGATGTGCCACCACCGCCGCCACCACTGCCACCTCCTCCTCCGCCAGGACTCATGCTGCTGCCTCCGCCGGACATTCCTACGCCGGAAGTGGAATGCAGGCGCGCTAATGTGAGCGGCATTAGCAGTGCCATCGCCAGAAGCGGGGCCATAAAAATTTTCCACATTGTTAACGTGGCCATTTGACTTTTATTGCACTTCATTTTCCCCGTTCTCCCCGTTCGGTCCATATCTATATCTATATATATATATATATTTCTTATAATTTTTCCTTTTTTTTGGCTTCTTCTGCGTTCACCCTTCGCCGGTTGTTGATTTTAATTTGATGTGACTTAAGTTGGATTTGGTTTGCAGATTTGGCGCTGCAGTTTTTCTTTCTTCTCGCCGACTTCTTCGCTTTCTTCTTCTCCAGTTTCAGTTTCTCGTCCTCCTCCTAATGGAAGCACATTTCGATTTTCTCCGGTCTCCGGTTTTCCTCCCGATGGCAGCAGCTGCAATTGAGAAAAGAAGTCGGGGGTAAATCCATCGGTTCCATTGGTTTGGGTATTGAAAAGTTTTTAGTTTGGAGGCTAGTTAAAAAGTTGAACAAGTTTTCTTTGCTCTTTTATTCCACTCTCATTTTAGATATAATTTTTTTTTTTTTTTTTTTTTCTTTTTGTGTGTAAAGTCAAGTTGAAGCCGCAATTATCGAGTTGTAAGGCGACGCGCCCCGCTAAGACCTCACACAGATGTTCGTGTTCCCAGGGTTTGGGGGAAAAACTCAATTTTGGGACAGAAAGTTTCTCAAAGAGAGATGAGCAAGTTCGTCACCTTGCCGGAAAGTTTGCGCGTTTTGAGGGGTGAATCAAAAGGTGGTTTGAAAACATTAGTCATGGAATTTAAGAAGAGTAATTATCGAGGCGAGAGGTTAGAGTGGAATATTAAAACATTTGGAGCCCTAAACTTTTAATTTGCTCGAAGGAAATGGTGGTTTGCATAACAAGGTAATTTTCGGCTGCTTTTTTGATTTAAGTACATAACACGTTGTAAGCTACTAGTTAATTTCATCTATATAATTAAAGATTGAATAATTTATTCCCTTTCAAAGTCTTATGGAATTATTTTCTATTTCAAAACTATTAATTGAAGTAAAGTGTTTGTACGTTTCTGTTTGCCTTCCACAAACCAATTTAAGAGCACAGTTTGCTGGAGTTAAAGATAAGGCACTGAAGCAAACAGAAAGTTGCCGTTTCCGTTCATCAACCCAACCTTCGCCAAAACCCTTCCTTCCTTCACCAAAACCATCCTTAGATTGGCAGCAAACGATAAAATTCGCCATAAGCAATATTCAACAAAGGACGAGAAATATTGTATTTTACCTTTAAAAAACAGAATAACTGACATAAAATAAAAGGTAAAGAAATTGGCACACGACTGGAGAACAAAAAAGGCATCTCATGTATCTCTCTTTCGGGAAAAAATGTCCCCAGCAAATAATAATGATTTGCAAATATATGTAAGGCATGAATGGTTATGGACAAAACTTAGAGGTGAGTTGAGTTGAGGGAACAAAATGCTGACAAAGGAGGAAAAGGTACCGCCAATAAACTGACACAAAAGGTAGCCGGCAAAGATACCCGAATGGCAGAGATGGAAAAGATGTTAGCCTTGGGATGGCATAAACAAAAAAAGGCAAATCAATAGGCTACAAAGCGCAGGAAAAAAAGAAAAAAAAAACGAAATCAACCCAAAGTTGGGTCGAAATTTTTCAAGTTTTCTGGGCTAAGGAATCCCACACTCGGTTTCCTGCTCCTTCTCTATCTGCCATTGTCATTTTGTCAACGTGTCCGTCGAGTGTCGTCAACTTCTTGCGGGAAAGGGCGAGGGGCGGTGCAACCTGCCCTTAATAATGATAAGAATGTAAGACAGCGCAATAAGCGACCAAAAATATGGCCAAGAGATAAGCAACAAGGGGCCAAACGCCGGAAAGGTGCCACAGTGTGAAGCAATATAATAATGATAATAACAAAAGACCTCCAAAAACGCCATCCCCTCCGCAGGAAAATAATAATGATAAAACTAATGGTCCGGCTGGCAATTATAAAAAAAAAATTGCTTATTTTTTATGTGTTTTCTCAGGAAAAAAAATGGTTGAAAATATATAAACTGTAAGTGGAGTGCGGGGGGTGGCTCAACTTGAACTACACTTGAGCAATTTGCGCACAGTCGAGTGCGCACATTAACCCACACAAAGAACGCGCACATACACTTCAAAAAGAAGCAACAAAAACAACAATGGAGAGACGGCAAAATCAACATGGCGTACAGTAAGCGGAAACGGAAACGTCGGCCGGCCGAGCTAGCGACCAGCAACAAAACCATCCAACCAATAGACAAACATAGAGGGGCTACTTTCCGGCGCAGGGAAAAGCAAGAAAAAAACCAGAAAAATATAAAAAATATTTGCAGAAAGCGTCGTATATAAAAATTGTGGCCGAATAATAGACCCTCTAAACAAAGAGCTTGGCTTTTTTTATACCAAAAATTAAGAAATATTTATAGTTGAAAATTAGTCTTTGAATACTCCACATTATCTCTAATGGCTTCCTTCAAATTCTTTTACTAGATTCGTAAAGTTCAAGAGTTAAGCAAAAGCTTTTGCTGTTTATTCAATAAATTTATATTTTCCTGTTCTTAACTTTATCTTTATTAAGAAGCGGCAAAATCAAGGCCCAAGCCAAGTCAGCCGTTTGCCAAGAAAGCAGCATTAAGCATACGTAACGTTGGAATAAGAATGAAAAGATACGTTTGATAGACACATTTTATTGCATGCAGTCATCGTCAGTGGGCTGTCGGTGCTGCTATTCAGTGGCTGACTGACGGCCGGGCAAACTGGGGGAACCCAAAGTGCCCGGGGCAAGGATCCTGTGCAGCCAAACCAGAGAACTCATACACACAGAGGCCAACTAGACAATAGTTGTGGCACTTTCCACCGCCTTCCGCCTCTCTCCTCTGTCAATGGGCTGCCTGGCACTTCCTGACCCTCGATTGGCCTCTCACTTTGTGTCTGGCTCGACTGCCTGTTGTAGTTTATTATTCCCGCCAGCCTCATTCTTTCCTATTTGGTCTAAATAAATTTTTATCATGTGCAAAGGGCCGTGGAGGACAAACAATCTCTATCTCGACTGGACTTTGGCCAGTCCGTCACTTCAATCTGCCATGCACTTGGTACCTCATTCCGACCGCCAGTCACTCATTCAGTTATTCATTCATTCACTTCCTTCCCCATCTCCATCTCCATTCCCATCCCCATCCAATCTCTATCCGTATCCACATGCACAGGATCCAGCCTTTTCTCCTGTTCCTTATGGTCTTTGTGGTTATTGAAGCGATCATTTGGAACATGCACAGAATTTTCTCTTTTTTTTCTGTTCTTGCTGCTCTATCCTCCTCACTTCCCACCGAAAAGTTATTAATGGCAAAATCGTTTAATATGCGAAAAATTTAAGAAATTGCTTTCATATAATGACATTAATGGCGGCGCGAACGCAACGATTGCTCAATATCTGATTTTTAGTGCCGTTGAGATTAATGCTTTCGGATACAAGTACATTTATACGAATAAATCTATAACCATATATGTAAAGACAAGCCAAGGCTTTTGTTGACACATGGCCAACACTTAAGCCAGTGGCTTTATGCCTCAGCAGCCGTTGAAATTTATGTCCTCGCAGAGGAAATATCTTTTCATGTCCTTTTGGCACACAATCGCACACACATGTATAAATATTTATGGATCATATGTACTTGCGGTCAGAAAAACGTCATCAAATTGTTTTCGAGGCTTCGGTTTACTTTGATTAACTTTGATCGAGTCCAGCTTGTGATAAATATTACTAGCACAAGTATGAAAAACGTAATATGATTAATGTTAATCTTAGTTGTAGTTGTGAAGCTCTTTTAATATTTTCACCATTCACTCCTAATTTTGGCAGATATTTTTCTATAAATACCTAAATATTTCTATTCATTTTTTTTCTCTTTTTAATGGGCTATAAAATAAGCCATGGAAAATTTGGATTGTCAAAAAACCAAGAAACCGTTTTAACTAAGGAAAAGCCCTTAACATACAAATCAAACAGATGCCGCAAAGGGGGACCAAAAGCCAGAATGAAGGCAAGGGAAAACTCCTTCTATGTTTTCCTTTTCCTTTGTCAAACATCACCCTCCCGTTGGCTGTTTCAATAAACTTATGCAAATATTCAATTTGAAGAAGTTTTTTTTTTGACAAATGATAAGGCCAAACAAAAGGCAGCCAGACAAATAAAGTTTTCACACCCGAAAAAGGCGAATGAATAAGGGATAAGGAAACGAGATATCCGGCGGTTTGCTTAGCAAAATTAAAATGGGAAACGCACATATAAAGGACTAGCGCTTCGAAAGCCCAGAAAAGAGCGGAAATGCGGAGTTCAAAACAACTTTTCACACAGGGTTTTCCGTCATGTGAGGTATACCAATCAAGCTAAACAACTTATTCCTGGCTCACAGAGCGCCATTTGCCCACTCCTCTTGTAAAAGTAAACCGAAGTAAATTTCAATTTAACCTTCATCGAGCCAAAACTCATTTATATTTATAAATTCGCCGAGAACGACGAAAAAAAAATGTATAAAAAACAGTAAGCACCAAAAAAGAGACAGACAGAGACTGAAAAAGAGACGGAATATGTAACGAGTATAAATAAATGGCAAGCGGAGGGTAAAGGAAAAACACAATAAATAAAAATGCGTGCGTCTGTGGTGGCATAATAAAATTGCACCAAAAGCAGCAACAAACCGAGAAAAACCTACCAGCAAACCGAACAGGAAACAAGTTCAGTAAAACCCAAAAAAAAAAAAGATAGAGGGAAAGGTTAAGGACGAGGTAGCGAATAATAAAAGTAAGACAGGCCCACACACACGGAGAAGCGGCCAAAAGGGATAAAAATCCATCAAACTTGCAAATAAGCCACAAGACGAGAAAGATGAGTTCCAGGCCAGCCAAAGAAAGAGACTCACTCGTTGGAGGATAACCGAAAATGGAGCTCGGCTGCCTCCCTATAGAATTCCCTTGGCTTGCTGGGCGGACATTGGCATCGTAAAAGGCAAAAATATTGCGCAAAATAATGTTTCATTTCGGTAAAATAACATACTCATCATTGAATATACAATATAAATGCAATGAGCAGGCCGAAGCTACTACGTTCGGATCTCAGGGTTGTTCGACGCCCACATTTAATGGCAGGCCTGGGTGAATACACTAAAAATGCCATCCATTTCCTTTAACTGCTTGAATTATACTTTGGCCACCGCACAACATTTTAATAATGATTTTGAAATACTCATAAAAATACTTCAGAAAATTTCAATAATTGTTTATTTATTCATAGCAGAATCATGAAATACAATGTGGAATGTGCGAATTTAATAACGTTTATCAAATATTAAAGGAGCTAGTCTATAAATACCAAGAGTATTTCATTAGATAAACGGGATTAAGGTAATACAGTTTATTTATACAGAAGAAGAAAGACAAGTTACATTTTTAAACACTTTATTGAATTCCCAAAAGTTATAAATTGATAGATACATTTTTAATGTACTTTCCTACTTTAAAACAGCTTTTATGTTTATTATGTTTTGCAAAAATCAATCAATTTAGTAATGCCAGACGCTGAGAAAATCAGCTACCTATCCAATTGCTCAGAATTTACCAGAACTAAGTGAAACTCCCAGGAGACTACGCTACCCACTCAAACATCTCGAACAAAAGGTGAAAATTGTTTCGGAATCATCGCAGCCACAGCCCTTTTACCCCGCCTCCAAATCAAAATAACCTCAGAGCAGACATCTGTTTGCTTCTTTTGGCGCGTTTTCGTGCCATGTCAGAATTGTTTGCTGTTTGTTAATATACAATTTTTTATGCCATTTCATTCTGTTATTGTTCAGATCGATTACGGTTTCAAGTGCCAGATACTTGAGCGTGAAATTCAGAGAAAAGCGCACGTGTCTACCAGCGGCCTTTTATTCATGTTGCCTTCCCTGTTTTCGTTTGGATAGTCTGTCATTAGGAAGATTGATTTCAAAAGCGTGGAAAATTTTCCCTAAACGCCATTGTTATGTGGAAAGCAACCACACGCAAAGCAGCTTGGTTGTTGGTTCAACAGGAGGTTAAAATTGTGGGTTTGGAATTACTATTACTATTACTATTACTATCTTAAATTATAAAATAGATGATTTTACTATTTGATTTTAATTATCTGCGCTCAACTGATTTTCAATTATTTATTTATTTATCAAAAAAAAAGAAGTTTAAAGTTTTCATATTTTTATAAACCATTTGCGAGGTTAAAAAAAAAAAAAATGTAAGTTACTTTCCAACAAAAAATGTGTAAGTCATTTGTTGAATATTAAGTTACAGAATAAACTGTTCAAATAAAAATAAGGATTAACTTATCAATTTGCATTACTGGAAAAACTTGCGCAAAGCAAACAAAAACTTTCTTAATGCACACATTAAAAAAGTATGATGAAATTGCATAAAACTTTAACTCAGTCGGAATACTCAGAGAATCGCACCACTGCTGGGGATTATGGAGAAAAGAGTTGGGATGGGTAGGGTAAAAAGTACATTAAAATCACATTAACCCGTCAACGGTTAAGGTTGGGTATGCGTAACTTTTGTTTATACACTCCGGCTTAATGCCTTTTTGAAGTAAGTACACACTCGCGGAATATACTTCTGATAAGCCCCATATATGTACGTAGGTAGCCCTGTAAACTAACCCCGTAAATGCGAATCCCTTTGGGGAATTGTGTCTCTTCTTTTTTGTCGGAACCATTGCACGTAATTGACTTTACGCCATAAATTTGTTCTCTCCAACAAATGCAGCAGGCGACATTCACTCGGGGCTTTTTCCATCGCCCCACTTTGGCAGCTCAATTAGCCATTAAGCTTTTGGAAATTGTCAAAAATGTTTTTGGGCAGTTGGGCTGGCGAGCCAATCAAAAATTCTGCCTACGCATTTGTATCTAGGCATTTGTATCTCTGCATTTGTATATCCACCAGAACGACCCACACCCCTTCACTCTTATCTACGAATTTTCGGGGTAGTCGTGCGTGTCCATTTGGATGCTTTGGAACGGCTTTTCTGGTGGCTCATTTGCATATTTTAATTGTCCAAAAATGAGAGGGAAATTTCGTACAATCACTGCAAGACTTAAATATTAACTTTGCCAGCAGTTTGTAATTTCTCACTCTTTCACTTCCATTTACTGAACTAATTTATTTATTTTCTCCGAAACTAAGCAGCAAACGTTCTTGCCCTTCGAGTTTGTTGAAAGGAAGGCCTGAAGTTGTCACTTTTCTCTAATGAAAGACGGCATGCAAATTTAATAAACAGGCGAAAGGCATGAAATTTGGGTCCTTCAGGTGAACTGTTCACAAGTTGGGTCGGCATGAGCTCGAGAAACTTTAGTACAAGGACAGTGATTGCTCCATTAGTCAGTAACCCATTATAAGTATTTAACTCAGAAATACTTAAATTATTGGTGATATTAGGTAAACAAATATTTATTTTACTATGCACGCTATTTTTCAGTTTAGTAAAGAATACTAAAACAAAAAGACTTTCCATTACTTATCTTACACTGAGTCTTTTCTGGAAATATTTAAATTTTTTTCTTACTTTATTTTTTAATGCTAGACAAAGGAATGAAATGGAAAAAAGACGAGCATGGAAAGACGGATAAAAACAAGTAAATAAACTTTAGGCAAAAGTTTTTGGCAACTTTCTGGCAGTCAGTTGGCGCATTTTAAGTTACGGCAATCGGCGGCCCAGTGGCGTAGTGCCGTCGCGAAAAGGGGAGGAGATCACGGGGGAATACAAGTTGCGAGTGACGGGGGCAAAGTGAAGGGGCGGCAAAAGTGAAAAACTGGCGCATCGAGACAAGAGCTTAAAACCACGAGTTCCACAACTTGCACACTGATAAAAAATCATGCCATGACTTTAAATTGTGTGCTATGAGAAACAATTTAAAAAACGTACTTTTTTAAACACTTTTTTTTTAACGTTTATTTCTCATCCTTTTATTCAATAATAAATAAGCTTAAAAAATGTATTCTTTATTAATGTTCATTGAATTTTATTCAGTCAATTTTCCTTTTTCTTTCTCATTCTTTAATTTTAACAAATACAAAACTTTAAGGAAAATAACAACTCATTATTAAATTGTTCCCTTACATTACACTTCTGCTACTGAGAATAATTTTGTAAAATGAATAAAAAAAGCTACTTTAATTAATTAGTTTCTAGAAAGTTAAACAAAGTAAACTGAGCTCAGGGTTTTTTTCTCTATCTGGAAGAACAGCGAAGGCCGGGTGGCAATTTCAACTTTAGCGTCAAAACTTTCAGGCAAAAAGTCAGTCTTAAAGAGCAAAAAGTGAGGTCGTCCAACTTACCTGGCCGAACAATTTAAATTTGTCCCACGCAGGATAATCCTTTATTGCCGTTGTTGTTGTTACTATTTGTGTTGCTGCTGCTGTGGCTGTGGCTATTATTGTTGCTACTCTTGCTGGACTTTTGTCACGCACAAGAAGGCAGTGGGCCAAGCCAACTTTGAGCTGACCACGTGACCATCAAAACACAAACAAACACACGGGAATGAGAAACACACACCGGGGCACACGAATATACACACTCACACACATATACTATATGTATGTACAAGACACTCGGGGCACTTGCAAATACTTAGTTGCTTGGTTTTAATGTATGCCCCAAACGAGAGCAGGGCAATTAAATCGCCTAAAAGGAGCCGGAGTTGAGCGTTTTGTGTGTGCAACAATATCAGCTGCTCGTTGAGTGAGTCGCATGATTTTTCCCTTTCGAAAAATAAACACGCAATACCCAAATGCAGTTCCGTTCTATTTTTTTGTTTTTTTTTTTTGCCCCCCCAAACCGGGGCTGAAAATATTCTAATTAGCGCTTATTGATTTCGATAATTAGTCCTTTTTGGCGGTACGAGATTCAGTTATTCGCGACAACGAACCCGATTGTGTGTGTGCAGGACGAGACCCGATAACTTCGCTAATTCGATGGCTGCCGCGGCGAGCGTCAGCATCCCTGCAAACACGTTCGAAACAGTCCGACGGCTGAGCTTCAACTGACTCGGCCTGGCCAGCTCAGAGCCCCACAAGCCGCACGGTCCCCCGCCGGAAGTCGGCGGCCCGACGTTCCATTTCTCGGCTGCCGACGCTCGGGCGACCGCCTTCCGAGCGCAAAGGATAAGAGCCGAGCGGTCCAAAGGATAACACGAGCGACAAAACTCACGACCACACGCACAAAGCAGCTGAATAAAGAGAATACCACTCGCAGTTTTAGCAAAATTTGTACAAATACAAAAGTTAACCAGGACTTAGTTAGAGTGTAAACCGAATATGATTATTACAAATTATTATAATTTTCCAGAATTTAAGTACTTCAGAAAAAAATTCAATAAGATCATATAGATAAAAAATAGCTTTGATTTCTCAACAGATGAAGATAAAAAAATTTAAAAAAAATCTAATATTATGTTATTATTAGTATAAGATAACTTTAAAATAAGTTATAAAATTATATTATCGTTGCCTATGGCTATAAGCATTAGATTCTCTCTTTGTTATGCAGATCGGCAACATTATCAACTAATGAATACCGACATGCATTAAGAAACCATCAACGAGCCGGCTGAATTAAAATTTTAAAGATTTATGTTAGTTATTCTCTTAAAAGTAAAAATCATGTGTTTTGTTCTCTTAACCGAGTGTCTTATACTTAACTCGAAATTGGTCTAAACATGGTTAAGGTCTTGACTAAGTAGAGTGTTGAACCAACATGTAAGTATGTCATGTAAAAAGTGTTGTTTGCCTTACCATGGTCGACTTACTTTTCTTTAATCAAAGAGGTTATAATTGTGCCAATGAGATTTTTTTTAAGATCACTTAATATTTAATAGTTTTGCCTTCAAAGATTTATACAAAAATATCTCACCCAAAAAGCACAAAATCATCTACTCGGAGTAATTCTAAGCCAAAACCAAGCAACAACATCCAAAATTCCGCTCCTTTCATTTAAGGGGTTATATCCAGTTGCGATTTTGAAAAAATCGAAAATTTTTTTTTTGCCTATTTTGAATGTATATATATCTAAGAAGATTATCTGAAAATTTCAAAGTATTCCGGTAAATAGTATTGGAGTAATTAGTGTATTTGTAAAGGCGTCTCCCATGTAGTTCAACTAGTAGCCAAAACTTTAAATGCGTTTTTCTCGAAACTATGTCTTCAAAGTCGGTGAGCAAAATTTCTCAGAGACGGCTTGTCCGATTGACTTGAAACTTTCACATTCTCTTCTTAGATATTTTTTCAGGTAATGAAACTTGGAATTTTGGCTCCGACAAAAACTTCGATTTTTTTAGCCACTTCAAAGTTGAAATTTTTGTGCCAAAAACAAAGTTTTATGTTTGGGAAGCCGCCATTTTGTCAAAAATCAAAATTTTGAAAATCCCAAGTCTCATTACCAGCATTTGTCTATTCTTTACGTAATCCTTCTGGTTTTTTGTATTTCTGATCATTTGGACCGGAGATATTTTGCTCACCGCAAAACCTTTTTTGAAGTGGACCCTCGGGAGATCCTCTACAGGACCGACGGAGTCCAAAATTTTTTTTTTTTTAAATATATTCTAAAACTAGAAATAATGACCTATCTTTTCATATATATTACGTATTCATACAATAAATAGCCTCTCCAAAAATAATTTTTAAAAAAGCTCATTTTTTTGGCCTCGCAACTGGATATAACCCCTTAATAAACAAGTCCAATCAAAGAAACAACCTGTCAGCTAATTAAATCCAGACTTAACTCACACCCAAGGCGATCTTTGCCCAACCGTTCTGTCCAATTTTATAAACCTCATCACTACTTCCCTTGAACTGCAATCACTCAAAGTAAAAATTGTCATCAAGCTCCGCACAAGCTCATACGAGACGCGTTAAAAAATGGCAAGCGAAGAAGGCAGACAGAGAATGAAACCCGAAAATGAATTGCAGCAAAATGCTCAAACACACTCTACAAAATTGACTTAAATAAATAAATGGCATAAAAACAAAGACAAAACACATGCGCAGCAAGAAAGTGAATCGAGAAGCAGAGGACTGCAGCGTGTCATAGAAACAAAGTGCATTCCCCGGTGGAAAATTGGGGGGTGGTGTAAGAACGACGGGGTTTTGTTAGCTTGTTGCAACATTTTCATTTCATTTTATTCAGTTCAGTTGAGTCAATGCGATGCAACATTCGAATGCAACAACAGCGAAGACAACGCTTAGTAGCTCATCCATTTTCATTTGTATTAAGCAAAAGGCAAAGGATATGGCCAAGTTGCATGGGAATCTCGAACTCCTCCTGCCTTTTTTGCAGCCCGCGCAAAATAAAAGCGTTGGCATTACGCAGCAAATACTTGTTTGCTTGCTGCATTGACAAAAAGTCTATAACCTCCCACTTCATTCCACCACGCTTTCCCCGGGGCTGCTCGTTAGCACAGCTGCCAAGAGAATTTATCTTACTCCCACGAATGCAACTCGATTTTATTTTATTTGTGCCCTCATTGTTTCTGTTTGGCATATTGGACGTATTGTTAGCCCCACAATGATCGATGCAAATTGATGCGTATTGTTAATGGAATTTCTTCCATGTGGAGAACCGTATGGAAAAGTATGCAACACAAATTGGGCGGAAAATAAAAGGAGGCTAAATGTCACACGAGTCCCCAGAGATTTTTATTGAAAATGGGAACAAAAACTATCAACATCTTATATCTTTCTATCTATCTATCTATCTATCTATCTATCTATCTATCTATCTATCTATCTATCTATCTATCTATCTATCTATCTATCTATCTATCTATCTATCTATCTATCTATCTATCTATCTATCTATCTATCTATCTATCTATCTATCTATCTATCTATCTATCTATCTATCTATCTATCTATCTATCTATCTATCTATCTATCTATCTATCTATCTATCTATCTATCTATCTATCTATCTATCTATCTATCTATCTATCTATCTATCTATCTATCTATCTATCTATCTATCTATCTATCTATCTATCTATCTATCTATCTATCTATCTATCTATCTATCTATCTATCTATCTATCTATCTATCTATCTATCTATCTATCTATCTATCTATCTATCTATCTATCTATCTATCTATCTATCTATCTATCTATCTATCTATCTATCTATCTATCTATCTATCTATCTATCTATCTATCTATCTATCTATCTATCTATCTATCTATCTATCTATCTATCTATCTATCTATCTATCTATCTATCTATCTATCTATCTATCTATCTATCTATCTATCTATCTATCTATCTATCTATCTATCTATCTATCTATCTATCTATCTATCTATCTATCTATCTATCTATCTATCTATCTATCTATCTATCTATCTATCTATCTATCTATCTATCTATCTATCTATCTATCTATCTATCTATCTATCTATCTATCTATCTATCTATCTATCTATCTATCTATCTATCTATCTATCTATCTATCTATCTATCTATCTATCTATCTATCTATCTATCTATCTATCTATCTATCTATCTATCTATCTATCTATCTATCTATCTATCTATCTATCTATCTATCTATCTATCTATCTATCTATCTATCTATCTATCTATCTATCTATCTATCTATCTATCTATCTATCTATCTATCTATCTATCTATCTATCTATCTATCTATCTATCTATCTATCTATCTATCTATCTATCTATCTATCTATCTATCTATCTATCTATCTATCTATCTATCTATCTATCTATCTATCTATCTATCTATCTATCTATCTATCTATCTATCTATCTATCTATCTATCTATCTATCTATCTATCTATCTATCTATCTATCTATCTATCTATCTATCTATCTATCTATCTATCTATCTATCTATCTATCTATCTATCTATCTATCTATCTATCTATCTATCTATCTATCTATCTATCTATCTATCTATCTATCTATCTATCTATCTATCTATCTATCTATCTATCTATCTATCTATCTATCTATCTATCTATCTATCTATCTATCTATCTATCTATCTATCTATCTATCTATCTATCTATCTATCTATCTATCTATCTATCTATCTATCTATCTATCTATCTATCTATCTATCTATCTATCTATCTATCTATCTATCTATCTATCTATCTATCTATCTATCTATCTATCTATCTATCTATCTATCTATCTATCTATCTATCTATCTATCTATCTATCTATCTATCTATCTATCTATCTATCTATCTATCTATCTATCTATCTATCTATCTATCTATCTATCTATCTATCTATCTATCTATCTATCTATCTATCTATCTATCTATCTATCTATCTATCTATCTATCTATCTATCTATCTATCTATCTATCTATCTATCTATCTATCTATCTATCTATCTATCTATCTATCTATCTATCTATCTATCTATCTATCTATCTATCTATCTATCTATCTATCTATCTATCTATCTATCTATCTATCTATCTATCTATCTATCTATCTATCTATCTATCTATCTATCTATCTATCTATCTATCTATCTATCTATCTATCTATCTATCTATCTATCTATCTATCTATCTATCTATCTATCTATCTATCTATCTATCTATCTATCTATCTATCTATCTATCTATCTATCTATCTATCTATCTATCTATCTATCTATCTATCTATCTATCTATCTATCTATCTATCTATCTATCTATCTATCTATCTATCTATCTATCTATCTATCTATCTATCTATCTATCTATCTATCTATCTATCTATCTATCTATCTATCTATCTATCTATCTATCTATCTATCTATCTATCTATCTATCTATCTATCTATCTATCTATCTATCTATCTATCTATCTATCTATCTATCTATCTATCTATCTATCTATCTATCTATCTATCTATCTATCTATCTATCTATCTATCTATCTATCTATCTATCTATCTATCTATCTATCTATCTATCTATCTATCTATCTATCTATCTATCTATCTATCTATCTATC